CTGAATACTGGGTTCCACAACTTGACTGTTACAACTTAGGTTAATTGATTTCTATAGGCATATAAATCAACAGTCGCTATATTAAGTCAAGTTCTATTTATTAGTCGAACTTCCTCAATTTTGTATGATTGTACAATATTTGCACCTTCAAAACTCTTCTTCCAATCCTATTCCCTCAAACGCTGGAAAACTCACCTATCATCGGATTTTGGGTCGGTGGCGATGAACAAAACAGTAAAATAGCAAAAAGAGAGAGAACTCGAGAGAAAGTATTAGAAGTAGGTTATTGATAGTATGTGAACGCAACCCTAATGGAGTTTGATACATTTGTTTATACATATATATTTAGAGAGAGAATTATTTATGATTATCTCCTAATTTACAACCCTATCTCCATCTATGATTGCGATTGCTCGATCAACGATTCTAATCTACGTACTCTTTCCTTGACTATTCATAAAAGTTATCTCTGTATCTCGCCCTCCAACGATCATGAAACCATCTATCGTGCCTTCCCTTCTAACTTCTACCTGCGTTAGAAACGTAGGGCGAGCTCTGAGGCGATGACTGCTGCTTTGGCGAGCTCTCAGGGATGACTGCTGCTTTGGCGAGCTCTCAGGGATGACTGCTGCTTGGGCGAGCTTTTGACCCATTCTAACTATCGTGGCCTATTAAAGCAAGCTCTTGGCCCATTTTATTTTCGGAATCCAATCCGTCGAATGAACTTTTACGGTCTACTTTACTCAAATTATCGTCACAATAATAATTTAAAATGATAAATACTTCATTTCACCAAGTCCTAAGGCCTCGTTTGGTTGGGGAGATTAGCCATGATTAACTAAATAATTGGACTTCGTTTGATGTTTGGTATCCCAATAACTTGTTGGATCGACCCGCAAATATTATGTTATCATGTCTTATCTTGCTTTTTAGGCATCTTTTTTTATTGGATCTTCCAAGGTCCAATAAAATAATTGGGTTTCATTAAATTATTTAGTCTTATCTTGACTAATCTTGTCTTGGCAACCAAACGAGGCCTTATTATAAATTCAATTATAAAGTGATTAGATCCAAACAAGCTCAATCTCAATGAATTTTTTTTTTTCTTTTCCTTGCATCACCACTGCAGTATAAGTTGTAGTTAATGAATAGGTAAATGATTCATAAAGGGCAACTGAGAAAAAGCTTGAATATGACTAACAACAGTCAATTCTTGTCTCTTGATATTTAACCTTTTATTTGTTGTCGTTTTCTATTTTTTTATTTTATTTTATGTTTTGGAGGTTTCTTGGAGCTCTAATTTCATTCTTATGCAAACCGTTGTAATAATTCATTGAATGTCCTAAATAATTGATATTCTCAAACACTAGGTTATAAACATAAATTCCGAACATAAAACAATTTTTATTACCAATTTTCATAAATTCTGTAACGCTACTCAATCTAATATGATAATCTAATAAATTACACACAAATTCTACCAAAATCCGAGACTGGGCTTACTGTATTGTTAAGATAATCGCGCATGCACACACTAAGAACCAAATCTTATAAAGATGAAGCTCAAGAACCCTGATGCAAACCTTAAATAATCCGTAGAAGCAATTAACATGCACATTATTTATTGTGGTTCGATCAATGATATTTGCATCCACTTTAGAGCAGCCACCGGATTGCTTTTATTGACAATCATTTTGAGATTACAATTACAATACGACTCTCAAGAAATCACTATCATAGAGCTCAAAAAGAGGAGCAACAATAGTGACCCGTTTCTGCACTCGGACCCATTTACTCTCTCTCTCTCTCTTCACGAATGAAAACCTAGAGCTTCTATCTGTACTAATTTGAGTGTACAGAAGAACCTCGATAAATTAATAATCTCGCTTAAATTATAATAGCTTCTCTTGGTCCAGACTCGGTGAAAATATGTTAAATTATTAACTCGATAATTTAATAATTCGCTAAATTAATAGAATTTCCCTAATCCCGACTGTATTAATTTATAGAGGTTCAACTGTATTTGCTTTCTCTCTCTTGGATAATTTCTTATGTGTGATATCAACACAATACATATATGATCATATGTGCATCACATTCTCCCAATAGAACGGTAGTTTCTAGTTACACATGGGTCGTTCCAACTACGGTCCCCGTCAGTTCATAACCGTCTATTCCATTAGTATTCTTCCATGTCAACACTGATCATCAATCCAGCTCAATCTTTAGCTTATTCCCAGCTTTTAATCTTTTATGTGCTAAGACAATCTAGATCACTATAATCATTACATATGTATGAACAAAAAATGATGTACTAAAAGATCAAAAGCCAATTAATTATATTGTTTCACTACAAAAGACATTTTATAGTATCATGTAATAAACATTATTCGTGGACTTGGCCTTTTCCATATGAAATCAACTGCACTTACTACTAAATTCAACGCACATCCATTTCTAAAGTGATTTATAAAGTGATCGATAAAAGTAAAACCCACATCCATTGACTAATTAGGGTAGGGATCAATAAAGTTTTTATTTCAAATTTAATTACAACTTCTCAAAAAGTTTTAATTTTTAATTTTATTTCAATTTTTTTCCTAATGTTCATACGACTTTTTGACAGTCGAGTCGCCCGAAGATTATTACAGCCAATTAATTCAAT